AAAAGTCACCTGGTAGACACCATTAAAAATAATCCAACAATTCCAGAAAACACAGGCAATGTAGAACCTCCTTTTTAAAAAAATCCCATGTTAGACAGTGTTCAATTTTAATTTTTAGTTAGCAGTATGTCAAAGGAAAGGAAAGTACATTAGGACTATTCCTAACATGAAAGACATCCTTAGGCAATGAGAATGGAAATACAGACATTTTAACAAGCACAAGACAGTCTGTGGGGATTCAGGACAACATGAACAATGTACCTGAGTGATTGGGGAGAAGAAATACATGTTTACATCTCCAAAATACAACAGTTACAAAAGTCCAGCTCAGCTCCTGTTCCTGACAGAACTCACTGCACTGCACAGAAGGCTCTGCACAGCCCTTCTTCCTCTGGCTGTGACACCCAAGGACAGAGGCCACCCTCTGCCTCAGCCACACCACACAGAGCACAAACCCCAGCCCAGAAACAAGGGGGTCCAAAATCCTGATCCTCCACTGCCTGGAGCTGGGTTCACTCAGACTCTGAAACTTCTCCACTTCATCCAGTGCCAGAGGGAAGCAGATTCCAGGAGCAGCTGACCCTGGACAAGGGATCCACATCAAGGGTGGTTGAACAAGACACCCAAACAGTGGCCAGGGACCACCCAAAGCAATCCCCCACACCATCTGGGAAGGACTGCACACTACTCTGCACACAGATGGTACCATGATTATCATCAGGCTACTCATCTATGCCTGATGCCAAGATCAGGAAATACTTCCTCTCTTGCTCCAGCCAGACCTGCAAATGCAGGGGAAGCTAAAAAGAATTTTTTAAAATCACTGGGAAAAGGTCTGACCCTGCTGCTCTTGACATCCTGGTGGGGAAGAAAGGGTGGCAGGAAAGGAAGAATCCCGAGTTCTGCTACTGTGTCCAGTTCATACTCTTTTGAGAAAAAAAAAGAAACTTTGAAGTCTACCTAACACCTAGAATAAGATGGGAAGCAGTAGGACTAACCTGGAGGAGTTTACAGGCAGAAGCAGGGGAGAAAACAAACAGAACTCTTGATTTTCGAAGTCCATCATTTGCTTTGGAATAAAATCTCTCCCTGCTACTCTGGCTGAGGTTTATCAGCCAGCCAAGGGATGCAGACACCCCACCCACAGCTAACTTAATTGGAATCAGACATCCAAATCCACTGGTTAGCTTTAAAAAAATCCCAGGTTAGCCTGGTGTTATCCTGAAAGGGCATGCCCTCCATTTGCTGCTCTGGAACAGGCAGCTTCACAGTCTCACCCCAAAGGAGAGCTGCTGACACTGCCTCTTGCCCAAGAAGGACCAGATGTGCACAACTGTCCACGTGCCAGCCAGACAGGAAACCCAGCTGGCCAGGGCACCGTGCAGATCCAGGACTGGCGGGGGCAGAGGGGCCAGGACAGCCCTGCACCAACCTCTGTGACAGGGACACCTGATAAGGACATGGCTCCTGCATCCCCAGCCCTTTACCAGACAGAACACCTCTCACCAAATCAAGTCCTTCTGCTGTTGTGTGACCAGAGGGCCACCAGAGCTCTGTCCCCATCCACGCAGACTGGACCCAAAGTGAGACATGCAGTGGCCACCTGCAGTCAGGGTCACACAGACAGGACACCAGCAGTGCCAGCCCCTGGCTGTCACCCAGGGCAGCAGCAGAGGTACCAACCCTGCCTTTTTCACTGCAGCAAGGCTCCAGCCACAGCCAGCAGGGCACATGCACAGTGCCCGTGCACCTTGCTACAGGCAGCTCCAGCTTGCTGAACTGGGAGCAATTCCCAGCCCCTGGAGCCAGTGCAGAGGAACAAGCACCTCCACTCACTCTGCAGGAGCCTGAGCACAAACACCTCCCTGGGCAGCCTCACTCACTGGAAACTTCGGCTGAAGTTTTACCTGCCTCTGTTCCATACACGGCTCTGCACAACAAAGCATCCAAATTCCTGTAACAAAGACATTTTCATGGCCAAGGAGCTACTTCATTGACCGAGGCTGCTGTCCTCTTGCTCTTCAGGTTTGTTTTGGTTTTGAAATAAATCCCTAAGGCAGAGGCATGAGGGAGGAAATTGCTCACATTTGAAATTCTCTAATGAAAATGTTAAATTGGATAAGTCTACTCCAACCAAACAGAGAAGGTAACACCAGAAATGGCAGGCTATGTGTAATAGTAAGTCAATTATTGTGGTATTCAATATTCAAAAGGGGGTGCAAAACTACCAGCACCCCATCACTGCTGCGTTTGAAGGATTTTTTAAGCCAGCAGAGTTACAAACGATCTCCTGTTACACAGTGCCTTCCAGCACTGGAAGCAAGACAGATTTTCATCAAGGAACAGCAGCCCCGAGGAAGGAGACATTCACCAGAACCCCAAGGAGTTAAACCCTGCAGCAGATTTCCAAAAACAATAGCTGGAGTCGTGCTGGCCTTCCCAAGGAGAGCAGGATTACACATCCCGGTAATCCAGTGCAGGGTCATTCAGGAAAGCAGGGAAGAATGCTGGGCTGTTACAACCTGCCACTGCCTGCTCGGAGCCAATTTGCATCAGCAGAGAGGTGTCAAACCGCGGAGATGAGCTCAAAAAGCCCCAAAGAGAGGTTTCACTGGGCTGGCCAGTGGAGCAGGAGGGGAGGAACAAGTGAGTGTGGGCTGGCAAAGGCAGAGGCAAAGCTCAGCCTTAAGGACAGGGATGGAGGGATGGAGGGATGGAGGGATGGAGGGATGGAGGGATGGAGAAGGGGGAATGCACCCCCAGCCTTCCTTCACTTCAGTCCCCATCACTGCCAGGAAAAGCACAGGAAAAGAAAAAAACCCCAAACAAATCCCCATTTTGCTAAACATACCAGGAAGGAAGATTACTAAGGGAAAAAAAAACAAAAACAAAAAAACAAATTCTCCCCTTGCACCTAGAGAGACAGAGACATTTCATTAAATGCCATTAATCTCCACAGACCCAAGCATTAGCTAGTTAATTAGACTAAAGTACAGTCACATTTTAACGCTGAGCATTCGCTATTCAACTGGGATAAATGAACAACTAAAGTCCAAAACCTTAATTCAGTATCTAATTAAAAAAACAGAAAACAAAATATTCAGATTATGAAATGCTTGCCAGAATAATACATCATAATTGATGTAAAATCTGCTCTTTATTGCATCTGATTTTCTCCAGTCTCCAAATCAGGCTGTTTTCAATCTTCAGATTTTTTTCAAGCGCCCTGTAGAAATCCCAACACTTTAGAAAGGACAACTGTGCAAAAAGCAGCAGCAGACACTGCTGACCTCTCCAGAGAGAGCGAGCTCCTGCTAAGAGTGGAATTTGATGTCCATTCCAGCATTTGCCCCACGCTTGAAAGATGTCTGTTACCAAAAACCAAGGAAAAAACCCCCTACGTGTAGAAAAACAAAATCCCCTTTGTCAACACAACCTGATTTTGCATTCTTTAACACAAAAATTTAACTCACTAATATCCCCCGCGTAGTAAAACACGTCCTTAATTGTTGGAGAACAAATCACATGGGACAGCTTAACAGCTCTGTTGTACCCATTACAAACTTCTCCAAGTACCTCTGTAGAAACAGGTAACTGGCACTAAAGACGGTTTAAAATGTAAATTAACCTGTAAAAGGTATTGGGAAGGGGGACAGGCACATCAAGCTCAAGATCAAAATTCTGGTAACTTTAAATTGTATATTACCGATGGCATCAATCCAACAACATAATCCAGAAGCCACAAGCCCCACACACTATAAACTCTTTGCCCAGTGCAGAAGCAAGCCAGGCACACTATTATTCACCAATTAGTAATTAGATATGTCCTAGGAAGAAAAGAACCTCTAAACATTTGCCTACATTAGTCTGGTTTAAAATTCTGCGAGTAGGCTGTTGGGGTTTGTTCTCTTTTTCTTTTCTTTTTTTTTTTTTTTTTTAAGAGCTCCCCAGCACCTCTCCTGTGCTATGCCTGGGGGTTTTAAATGACACAGGGTTTTTCCTAGATGCCTACTTTGTGCAATACCCAACACAATGGTTCAACACACCCAGTTACACTGCTTGCTTTCCTGAGGAGCTGTATGCAATAACAGTCCAGGCAGTTGCTCAGGTAGTTTCCCACCACCAACTTTAAACCACTTTTCCTTATTGACTTGCATGTACAACTTTGCAGCCTTTTTCTCCCATTTTTACCAGAAGACTGAAGTTACCCAAGCTGACAAGTGTATACACAAGTGCCATACATCAGTTAAATTAAGTTTTTCCAATAGACTCTCAAAAACAAATAAAAAAAAAAGTCAATTACAAAAGTTTTCTTTCAGCCTCTGGCTTTCAAAATTCACACGCTGCAAGCTTGGCTTTGAAACTGATTTGTTTTCATTAGCACAACCTAAAGAGCAACAACCACCCGTATTCCACAGGCAGCTCCTGCAGCAGTGGCACCTGGAGGGAGCGCGGGGGCAGGAGCGCCAGGACTGGCCACACCACTGCCAGGCCACTGCTCTGGCCAGCCTGACCAGCTGGACACCCGCAGCTCGCTGTGCCCCTGCTCTCACAGAACAACACCCAGTGCCCCAGAGCTCGGAGCCTCAGCAGAAACTTGCCATCCCAGGCTTAGACACAGCCCCGCGCAGCGCATCTCTTGAGTTACACAAAAGAAAATTTGCAAACAATGAAGGCAGAGATAGATCCCCATCCATCACAACCACAGAACTGAAAGCTCGGCTCCAAACAAGCCAGAAGGCTGCACTGAACCCAAAGACTCCTCACAAACACAGCACAGTGCCCACCCAGAGCGGCGGGGCTCCGGAGAGGCGGCACGGTCCCGCTGCCAGCCCGGGCGAGCGGCTCTGCTCGGACACTCCTGGGCCTCAGCCACGCTCTGACCCCCCCAGCAGCAGCTCTAAAAGCTTTCACTGCCAATTCCCCGGCTGAAACCCGAACTGCCTGGCAACAATGATTCTCTGTGTGCCTGAAATCCTATTATCGATCCTCCTACTTACCTTGGGCTGTGCTCGTCGGGGAAACGCAACTTTAGGGTCAATCTGGGGAAAAAGAAAGGGGAAATCAACAAGGTGGCTTGGGTTGTCATTTCACATTATTTTGATTTTAAATCACTGAATTATTAATCCCTCATTTCTCAGGCTTGTAATTCAGCACACCGGGTCATCCAGAGCTGCTCTGGAAATGAGAGGTCACAGTCTGGGCTTGTCTGGGGAGTTTGGCAGGGGCGGGGAGATGGGAAGGCAGGAAGAAAACATCTCTTCTGCACTTCTCCTCCATCATCTTCTGGGCAGCAATCCCCGTGGGTGCTCAGGGAGCTCTGGATCAGTCTCTGGGTGCTGCCTCTACCACCAAAACTGCATGTTGAGGATTATCCACATGCCCTAGAGGTTGTACAGAAAGAGGGCCAGCAATCCTGACCAACACCTTAGCTGGGTGCCTTTGACACCTGCCCCTTCCTGCACTTGGGTTTGAGGTTACTCCTTTTTTTCTGCTTTGTTTTGCTAACTGACAAGCAACACCATACAAAAAAGGAAAGCCAAAAGCAAAGTCAAATTATTCACATTTCAGTTATTAAAACTGAAACATGTGAAGGACTAGAGTCTCCTCCATAGTAATATGCCCAACTGATCTGATTTACTCAAAGAAAATAGGTGAGCAATGGAAACCTCCAAAGGGGAATTTCTGGGATGGGACGGGAAGGAAGAAGAGTAAGTTACAAACGAGTTTCATGTGTGTGAAATATACACGCACTGAACTCAAAAGTAAACAACTTCCTAAAAAAGGCTTTCCATTAAGGAGTTATTGACTATCCACGTATGAAGCACGTCACCACAGACAAAAAGAAAGGGAGGAAAAAAAATCCTTGCTCTACCCCCCTGCCCTGCTTTAAGATGCAGCGTTGGCTCCCCTTGCGCTGCATGAATTAGCACGTCCCCTCTGCACTCCAAAATGCTAATTCTGCAGCCTCACACAACTTCCACAGGGGTCATCTCTAAAAAGGGACTCCTCTCTCCCATTCAAAAATGACACGAAACCAAAAAGGCACCACCGCAGGCACAAAGAAATGGCACCCAGTGGTGTTTGGAGGGAGCACGCAGGCAGAGGGCTGGATGTAAACAAAAACATCAGCCCTTTCACCAACAGCTCCCCTCAACGCAATAAAATAAAATAAAATAAATAAATAAATAAACGCCTGAGTGCTGCTGGCTCTCAGCAGCACCTGCACGCAGACATCCCCGCACAAAGGGGCTGCAAAAGGATGTTTGGAAGGACTGGATCCTACCTAAACTGTGCTGTCCTTGCCTGTACAACAACCTGGTGCCACTAACAATGACAGGGTTAAGGATATTGGGAAGGACGGGCTTTTTTAGAGTTTGGGTCTGGTTTCTGTTGTGTTTCCCCCGCCTTAAAGCAAACCCTGAAGAAGAGATGTTTCCATTTGGTATTGTTATGCCTGTGGTGATAAATATTCCTGTCACTGCTAAATAACCATGGGTCTCTCTTAAAAAGCAGTTTTACTCAATTAATTTGTCAAAATGGGAAATACCGCAGACATTTGATGTGCAACTGATAAACTGATTCGCCTCTATCAGATACAATATTTGTATCTTTTTTAGGACACACCTGAGAAATGAGCGATTACATGCCATTTTATTGTTCAAAAAGCATAGAAAGTAAAATTATTTATCTAGAGAGCTAACCTTTTCATAGAGATTAACATTATCTACAAATATATTCAGCACTGACTAGGCATTTGTCTACTGGGGAAATACAACAGGTACGGATTTTCCACAGCGATACCCAAAGGTGGAAAAATATGCACTTTTCTATGTTTGCTCCAAAACTACAAGATTTCCCACCAAAGAACACCAGGCCCACCAGAGGGACATCACTGCAAAGTCCTGCTGGTAAATAGCTGGGAGAGCCATTAAACTCCAAAGCAACACATTCATTTTTGAAGGTCAGTTCAAAGAGCATGGAGTCCCTCGCACCACAGCGACAGATTTCCTAAAAGAACTGAATTTTCCTTCCCAAAACCTTTTGCATAAACACCATCAGCCTTTGAAAACAAACGCTAGCAGCGAATGTGGCAAATCCATACCTTTTGCATAACCCTGTCAACTATTTAAACAACAACCAAAAAGGAAAACAAAAACAAACCAAAGTTCTACCAAAAAAAAAAAAATTAGTTAGTTAGGTACAATTCTACTTACTGTATCTACAAGTCCTCTAGGAAATGACTATAATACTATTTCTGATATGAATGGCCATTACCTAAACAAAGCTTTTAACGTAACTGTAAACAAGAGCGACGTTTCCATGCCAATACCCAACCGATCTGCCTCCTGTGCTGAACGTTGAAACAGAGTCAAATGCCTGGTTATACCGCACAACAGTTACTACAATGCTCTACAAATACACGCCTGACAGGACCTGCCTGGCTCCGGGCTTCACTTCTAAGCTGCGTTACTGATTCTCAGGTCAGTTTTGTGTTCGGATTGATTCAGTCATTATCACACAACCAAAACCGAGGCAGATTTGCCCCGTGAAGCTCTTCACCCCTCCCCCGGAGAAGAGCAAATTAATACATCGCAGGGACTAGACTGTGATACAAGAAAAAAGCTGGGGGAGGACCTAATTATAGTCAGAAATATGACAGGGTGTCCTCCCATGTTTTTTTTTTTTAACTCTCGTTCAAGATACTGTTTGCCTTTGTTCTTCTTATCTAAATTTATCTTTAAAAACACATAGAGAATATAGCTGTACATGAAAAGTCTGGTGAGTTTAATTTCAGGAGCACGGTTGAATCAGTTATCTTACCATATCTGATTAAACCTAAAATCAAATTATTAAGGCATGCGAAAGCATGGGCTTCGTGTTCAGGCAAGCCCAGCAGAATCTGTAGGTCGAATTAAAACACTAGATTCCACCTGCTTCCACAAGAGCTTTAGGCTTTTTGTTTCCATATAAATTACATTTTTAAAAGAACATATCCTCATGTTTGCTCCCTGCTTCTCCCTTTCTTCCTTTAACTACAACCTCGCACACACAGGCGCCCGTGAGATCCTGCAGCACCGAGGCAGGATTGCTCCTAACACCACGCTCAGGTAAAAATAAACCCCTTAAGCCCCAGGAGACAGCCTGCAAGCCCCAGTGGCAGCAGGGACCAGGCTGGATCTGCCCGGCAGAACGCCTCTGCAGACAGCTCCCTTCCCAAACACAGCCCCTCCAGAGCCAGCAGCACCAGAGCACTGATGACCTCTAGCAGTGTCCTTCCCCCTCCCCTCCCGGCTCTGCCGGGGCTCCAAACTACAACCAAGTAGGAGGCACAAAACTTCATCTTTTTGCTTGGCCTTGACCCCAGGGAGAAAGCAGGGCCCAGAGCTGCACTTGCCCCATACCTTTTGTTTGACCCAACACTGAAAGCACCGTACTGGGGTAGCGGGCAAGCTCAGGTGTGGAATTGTTGTTTAAAAAAATCCCCAAACATGTGTAATGCTTATTTAAAAAAAAAAAAATCAGCTGCATCTCACAAGGATTTTTTTCCTTATATTATGCACTGGAGACTGAGCGCAGCAAAAAGCTCTGGAGAAACAACAACACATTAGGACTTGTGCTTCTCTACCACATCCACTCTCCAGCTCTTGCAGAGCTTCCCATAAATTACCGCGTGCATTTCGCCGGGGCCCTGCCATCACAGGTGAGGGGACCTCTCCAAAAAATGACTTTGGGAAATGACATGAGCAGCAGCTTTCACGGTTTGACAGCAAGTCACTCCCACCTCGAAACGCGCTCAACAATACATAAATAATCAATCAAAAGAATCACAAAGTTCCCCGCAGAAAGCATGCCGCAGCCCAACACCGAAAAAAGTTGGATTTTACTCCACAGCTTTTTCAATGTCACCGCTCAATAAAATATAAGGCCGGGGGAGGAGCCAGCGGTCGGTACGGGTGAATTCCGATTTAAAAAAAAAAAATAAAAAATAAAAAGAAGAAAGTTACCGCTTTTGGCAAGTTAAAAGGCAGAGTGTATAAAAATATAAAGGCAAAGGCGAGGCGCGCAAGGTCCCGGTTCAATGACAGGCTGGCACCGCCCGCGGCACCGGCCCGAGCGCGGCTCCAGCGGCGGGCGGCGGCCCCGGCGTGCGGGCAGGGCGGCGGGCAGCCCCCGCAGCACCTACCGTCTTGGAGTCCAGCTCGTGGTGCGGCTGAGCCAGGACTTTGTCTACACTCGCCGGATCCGCGAACGTAACGAACCCGAAGCCTCTGCGAGAGACAAAGAGCGAGGGGATGGCGGGGAGGGGGGGGGTGGTGATGAGAATTAGAGCCAAAGGAAGAAGTCATAAAAATAAACCGCTGCGTCCCCCTCCTCCCTCCGCCCTCCCCCGCAGCCTGCGGGAGCGGGGGGCGGCCGGCTCCGACCCCCGGCCGCTCTCGGCTGCACCGGCCGCTTTGTTTCCTGCTCGGGGCTGGAGGGATGCGGGCGGGGAGAGCCCTCCCGCAGCGCCCCAGGCGTGCGGGGGGACGCGGGGCCGGCATGCGGGGCTGCCGCCGGGGGGCTGCGGGTCCACCCGCCCCGACCGCAACTCGCGAAGTTTGTCAGCCCGAGCGCGGGGTGGGCGGCGGTTTTACCTGGAGCGCTTGGTGGTGGGGTCCCGCATGACCATACACTCCCTAATTTCTCCGAATTTGCTAAAATAGTCTCTAAGGCTGTCTGCGGAGAGAGAGCAGAGAGGGAGAGGAGGGTGAGGGACGGGGGGCGCGGGCAGGGCCCGGCGCGGCGGGACGCGGCCCACGCGGGGCGGGACGCGCGTGGGGACGGGGCGGCGGGCGGGGGTTACCTGGTGAGGTTTGCCAGCTGAGGCCGCCGATGAACATCTTGCTGGAGGGAGAGAGCAGAGCGGAGTTGAGCGCCGGTGCGGGATCGGCCATTTTGACGGGGCAGCTCCCGGCGGGGCGGAGGGGCGCGGAGCGGAGCGGCGCGGAGCGGAGCGGGCCCGGCGACCGGAGGATCTCACTGGAGAGGCGCTGGGGCAGCAGCCAGATCCGTCACACGTGGGATCGGCTTAGCTCAGCGCCGCGCCGGCGCTCCCTCCCCCCGCCGCCATCCTCCCCTCCCTCCATCGCGCCCCTCCCTCGCGGGGGCGGGGCCTCCGCCGGCGCGTGGCCCTCCGTGACGTCGCCGTGACGTCACCGCGCCCTCCCCGCGCCGCCCCTGCTCTCCGCGCGCGGCCGTCCCTCACGGGTGTGCGCGACAGCCGGGGCTGTGGGCATGGGGCTGTGCCCACAGAACTGTAACCCGGGACTGTGCCCCCGGGACTGTCCCTGGGGCTGTGGGCATGGGACTGTGTCCCCAGAACTGTCCCTGGGGCTGTGGGCATGGAGCTGTGCCCACAGAACTGTCCCTGGGGCTGTGGGCATGGGACTGTGCCCTGGGGCTGTGCCCCCAGAACTGTCCCTGGGGCTGTGGGCATGGAGCTGTGCCCACAGAACTGTAACCCGGGACTGTGCCCCCGGGACTGTGCCCTGGGGCTGTGGGCATGGGGCTGTGTCCCCAGAACTGTCCCTGGGGCTGTGGGCATGGAGCTGTGCCCCCAGAACTGTCCCTGGGGCTGTGGGCATGGAGCTGTGCCCCCAGAACTGTCCCCCGGGACTGTGGGCATGGGACTGTGCCTTGGGACTGTCCCTGAGGCTGTCCCCTGGAACTGTGCCCCCAGAACTGTCCCTGGGACTGTCACCTGGGACTGTCCCCCAGAACTCCCCCCGGGCCTGTCACCCCCTGCCCGGCCCCCGGCCCTCACAAGGGCTGGCCTTTGCCTGAAGCTGGCTGTTCCTGCCAGCCCCTGCTCTGCTCCCCACCCCGCACAGCCCAGCCCTGCGTCAGGGGAGAATTTCGGGGGCTGGGTGTCCAGGAGAGGAAAATTAAATCTTAGGGACTCGGGAAGAACTCGGGTGTTACTGAGAGGCACCATCCCCTCACCAAGCCTGGGCACCGCAGCCACGCTGCCTCAGCACTGCCCAGGCCCTGCGGACACCCCGGGTTTAAACTGCGGCTTTCTGGGGCTGCTCGTGCACCCCGAGCCCCATGTCCCTGTGTCAGCGTGTCCTGGGGCTCCCCCATGTCCCTGTTCCCTGCTGTTCCCTCACCCCGGCGTTCCCGTGTCCTGGTTTCCCCACAGCCCAAGGTTCCAGCAGCACCACTGCACCCCTGGGCCCCACAGGCACTGCCCAGGCAGGGTTTCCCTCAGCTCCTGCATTTCCCACTCGGTGTTTGACCAGGGCTTTGCAGGATGGGGTGCCAGCTATTGGTGTCATTATCTAAGCAATCAAGTTTGCCTAAACTAAGGAGCATGGGCCACCCGCCCAGCAGGACTGAGCCACGTTGCCCTACATTTTCAGAGATATCCGTGGATTTTGAGTTCTTCCACCTGTCCAGCACCGAGTGCCTCCCAACCAAAGACCTCCCAGCTCAGCAGTCAAGCCTGCAAGAGCTGTTTTGGGGTTGCCAACTATTTCCAGCTCAGGAATTATGATATTTTCACTGGGGCTGGGGGCAGTATGTGGATGTACTTTCCAGCAGGGACTAATGAACAAGGTGGGAATGAGTGGATGTGTGCAGGGCTGGGAGGTCAGGCCCACTGGAGAAACCCCCCTCTTCATGCTGGGATGCTGGCCACTGTAAAATGGGATATAATTCCCTTTATTTGGTTTGTTTTGCCATGAAGTGCTGAACTCTGGCTCAGCAGTGGGGCGGGCAGGGAAAAGGGGCTGACCCTGCCCTGCCCCAGCAGGGTGAGCAGCACCAATGTGCAAAGGAAATGGATGGGGGGATTAAAGAACAGTCTTTTTCTCCCCCCTTTGAGCTTCCTTTAGATCTTAGCTATTTCTTGTAATAATCACCGGGAAATTACTAGTCAGGAGAGCGGTTCCTGGGGTTATATTACCCCTTTAATCTCTCTGGCAGCGGTGCAGAATTTTAAAGGGGTTCCAGAATGAACAGGCACAAGACAGATTTTGCTGATGGACAGAAGGAACTTCAGTGCAGCTGCTTATGGCTCAGAAAGAAATTTTGATTGCCATATATTAAAAGGAAATCTCCACTGCTATCCCTTCCATCAGCAAACGTTACAGGTCAAACAGCTTTGAGAAGACTTTATCAGTACGTTCTCTCTCCACCTCCCCCGGAGCTGAGGCTGGGTTCAGGGATGTGACAGTTTCAATCTGTTCAGTCAGTTTTGCTCCTTCTGAGCACTTTGCTGTCACAGCAGAAGCCAAACCCACGGCACCAGGGAAGCTCTGGGGACACGCCTGGCACCTGAAGCCCAGGGGTGACAAACTAGGAGCCACTGTCCTGCTCCTTTGGCAGCAGTCGACAGCACCCAGCCCCAAAGGTGCTGTTCCAGCCCCGCTCCCAGATTTTCCTCCAGCCCACTGAGAGTTTGCAGGCTTGCCCTCTGCTCTCCTCCTCTCCAGCCTTTAATGTTCGTGCTAAAAATCCAACGTCCCAGTGGAATTTGGGAAGTAGCTAATGAACTGCAAAGCTGACATCTGTAACTGCCGGCCAGGGATAACATTCTCCCTAGCTGCACAATTAAAAGTTGAAGCATTTAGTCCAATAACTAGGAAAGTTACTGCTATTGATTCAAACCAGCCCAGATCCTCCATGGTGGCTCTGCAGGACACTCGAATTTGGGACAATCACATCTGTCCACATACTCACGGTAGCCCCTACTCTCATTAGCAGGTTTTAGCCTCACCAATTTCCTTTCAATTTTTACGACTCCCATTTCATATCAGAGACTGAGATGCAGAGTTTGTTAAGATGAGCATTTATATGGTCAAAGTGACATGAGACCCCAAATCTCCTTGGAGAAACATGGGCCCTGAGAGCCTGATTTCTGAAACAAAGAGATCTTGGGCTCCCAAACTAGTTGGGCATGGATTGGGAATGCTGTTCCAGGTAGGGAAGGCGGCAGGTCCCAGTTTCCCAGGCTGCAGCCGTGCTCCTTGGACATCCTGTCTTTGCTGTGCAGCGATGCCGAGGGGCTGCATCCACCTCACGCTGCCTGGAGAATGAGTTCATCTATCTGGGGCTGTAGAAATCTGCATTTATGTGTTGTATGCTCTATAAATTCAGTGTCATAATAAAAAGGATCTAAATCTTTACTGAATAATTCATTTTCACGCATAGGGAAGAAATAATGACCTATATTACATTCCATCTATCATTTAGCAGGTTGTGGAGATTGATCGGCGGTGGGTTCCGAGGTCCCCGGTGAGGAGCAGGGCCCTGCCTGCTGCCCAGCTGTGGCTTCACCTGACAAACATTATTTAGACAGAATTCCAGGGGGTGGTATGCTGGGGAGCTGCCAGGAAGTCAAAGATCATTTAAAATGCAGAATGTGTCATTGCAAACAATTGTTGTTCTTGGTGCACTGCTGCCTCAGGCGTTACCCCAATGCCTGCAGCACCCACAGAGCCACACCAGGAGAGGGGCTGTGCCAGCCCTGCCTCGGAGCAGACTCAGCACAGGGGATGGGAGACATGTCTTTGGGGTGTCAGACTGCTCAGGGCTGTCTAGGTACCATCCACATCTCCAAAGAGCCGGGCAAAGACTTCCTGTGTGTCCCTGGGATGCACAACGGAGGGCAGGCTCTTAAGTGCACAGCCCTCAGCAGCTTTGGTTGTGATATTTGTAGGCAAAGTTTCAGCAGAGTGCAGACTTAGTGCGTTGGATATTTTTGATTTAATTTTGGGCTGCCCATCCATTAACTTGACCTGTGTTTCCTCGTGGTGAGCTCTACACCTCCTCCCATGTTCCCTGCCCCTCTGTTTCCACCTGCTCCACCGGCTGAAAGGAAACCACCAAACCCATGAGCGCTGCCCAGCCCTGGGGCTCTCAGCAGCCCAGGGCCAGGCAGGAAAACAAACAAAAACCACCGAGTCTGGCTGCGCAGGAGGGAGTGACTTCAAAACACAGCAGCCAGTCCCTAAACAGGAATAGGCTATCCCAGAACCAGTAATTTTAGGGAAGCAGTACTGGTTCACACCTGGTGCAAATGTGGCTCTATATTTTGGGTAGAAACTGGAGTTTTTCCCCATCAAGTTCCAGATCTGCATCAAATTATTTCAGCATTTGCTAATGAAGACATTACACTGACCTTATTAAAAACATGATTTTCATCTTAACTGAGAAAACAGCGTTTTTTTCAACTGTTTCAAAAGAAGAATAAAACCCAAATATTATCAGACCCATCTTTCATATGATAAGGGAGGAGGGGGAAGCTCTGCAAGGAAAGATTTCAAAGCCTGCTTTGTTTTCGTCAGCTTTGAAATCAACAGACAGCCCTGAGAATTCTGTTTTTCAGAACCACGGTGTTTAATTCTATTTACTACTTCCAGGCAATTCTATATATATACACAGCGAAAAACCCAAGCAGCTCACTTTAAACAAATCCTCCTGCTTTTTTCAGATGTGTCATTCCTCCTGCGGGTAGGATTGCAGGATACAGATCAATTAAGTTAAAGCCAAAAACAAAGCAGGGAGGAGAGGAAGGGAAGAGCAGGGTTTGTGCTGTCCCTGGGCAGCTCTCCCTGCTGGATCTGGTGGGCACCTTGGCTTCACCTGAAGGAGGGCGTTAGGGGGGAATTTGCCAAAGGCTGCCCCACCTCTGTTGTCTGATAGAGCAGCTGGAAATCCAGCCTCTCACTCCTGTGCTTGCACAAATCCAAGCACCCCAAGTTACCCCCTGTGTTGTCTCTCACCCTGGAGTGGACAGAGTTATGCCAGAAATCCCATTTCCTTCCCTCTCCTGAAACCAGGCTGTCTACCTTATTTCTCCCCCTGATTAATTTTTACCAAAGGCCTTTAAAAGCCTCTGATAAACTGCTCCCAAAGTCCAAACTAATATTATTAACTATGAATCTTCTCC